GGGGGATCGTGGCTGACAGCCAGTTGAACATGAGCCAGCAGTGTGCCCAGGCAGCCAAGGCGGCCAGCGGCATCCTGGCTTGTACCAGAAATAGCGTGTCCAGCAGGAGTAGGGAAGTGATCGTGCCCCTGTGTTTGGCACTGGTGAGGCTGCACCTCGAATACTGTGTTCAGTTTTGGGCCCCTCATTACAAGAAGGACATTGAGTTGCTGGAGCGTGTCTGGAGAAGGGCACCAAAGCTGGTGAAGGGCCTAGAACACAACTCTTACGAGGAGCGGCTGAGGGAACTGGGATTGTTTAGTCTGGAGAAGAGGAGGCCGAGGGGAGACCTTATTGCTCTCTACGACTACCTGAAAGGCGGTTGTAGTGAGGTGGGTGTTGGTCTCTTCTCCCAAGTAACCAAGACGAGAGGAAATGGGCTCAAGTTGTGTCAGGGGAAGTTTAGATTGGGTATTAGGAAAAATTTCTTTACTGAAAGAGTTGTAAAGCATTGGAACAGGATGTCCAGGGAAGTGGTGGAGTCACCATCCCTGGAGGTGTTCAAAAAATGTGTAGATATGACACTTCAGGACATGGTTTAGTAGGCATGGTGGTGATGGGTTGACGGTTCCAACCTTAGTGATTCTATGATTCTGTATTAAAGCAGGTGTGTACAACATTACTGTCTTTACCAATACGCTCTTTGAACCTACACTGAAACAAGAAGTTGTTGAATAATGCAAGAAAACACGCAGAACTGGAGATAAAATGTTAAGACTTACCTATTACCGATTCAACTGTGTTACTGCCAGAATAGAATGGGAGCGCTTTGCCACTGATAGCAGAGACAGTTGTAGGAGATGAACTGTCTGATCCAACACTGGAGGCCAGACTGGAAGCTATACTTGAAGCAAGTGGGTTAACTGCTGAAAAAACACTGAGATGATTCTGTTAAAAAAACCAAACAACACATGTTTATACACACAAACACACACAGATGTATGTACAAACACATAAAATAAACAGAATGTATTTTTGAAAGTGGTTATTTTAATTCAAACAGAAAGAAATCCAGAAGAGCCCTCTGAATGAACAGATTAGGATAATTTTCCTTATCATTTACCAGCAAATGTGTTTCTCCAATGTGGCTGGACATCGCTACCATAGGAGGGACTTCTGCTTTTAGAAAAAAATGTATTTAAATACTTGCAAATAAGCTCCACAAACATAATTAGTTAGCTGAAGTCTGATGCTCCTTTTCAAAAGGAAAATATCTGTTGAGGAATCGTACCATTTCATTATGCGTTCGGACACAAATTATATTCTACATTATTTTTTTGATCTGCAAATTTTCTCATTTAATCTAAATGCAATTGGTCCATAACCTGATCTTGGGTTTAGATAGATGAGAAACATGACTGCACTGCACAGATGTGTCATGTTATACAATGACCTGTACCTGTCTTACTTCTTTCTAGCTGAACGTTTTTCACACAAATCACACATTTAAATTATACAGTGTAAGAAATGCAAACAATATGTAACCATGTAACATTCTAAACTGGAAAGTAACTTCATAAAGTCTACAGGGACTTGGTGCAGGGTTTCTAGTATATTAATTCCTTTTACTGTTTATTATTTATATATTCCCTCCAATCTTTTAGTTAATAAACCAACACTTCACTGTGACTGATCGATCTACACATCCTCTCATTGCCTTCTGTGTGATGAGAAGTGATTGTGCAGTATCTGCTCTCCTGACTTCTACCAATACTACAGAAAATTTCTGTTTCAAAGCTAGATAGAATGCAAGCTTGAGGCCGATAATGACCATGAGATTTAATAACTTTTTCTTTAAAAATAGGCACAAACTGAAATATAGAAAGCTTCACTTAGACACATTTTTTTACTGCGATGGTGGCCAAACACTGGAACATGCTGCCAAAGAGGCTGCGGACTCTTCATTTTTGGAGATATTCAAAACACTACTAGACAAGGCACTGAGCAACCTTCTCTAGATGACCCCACTTTGACAAAGGGCAGATGGACTACAGATCTCCAGAGAATCACCAGATGGTTTGGGTTAGAAGGGACCTTTACAGATCATCTAGTCCAAACTTCCTGCCATGGGCAGGGATATCTTTCACTAGATTAAATGCTTGAAATGATGCTCAAAGCCCCACCCAACCCAAGCTTAAACACTTCCAGGGATGGGGCATCCACAACGCCTCTGGGCAACCTGTTCCAGTGTCACACCACCCTCATAGTAAAGAACTTCACCATTATATCCAATCTAAATCTAACCTCCTTCAGTTTAAAAAGATCTCCCCTTGTCCCGTCACTATGGGCCCTGGTAAAAGTCTTTCTCTGTCTTTCTTGTAAGCCCCTTTTAAGTATTGGAAGACCACAATAACATCTCCCTGCAGCCTTCTCTTCTCCAGGCTGAACAACCCCAACTTTCTCAGCCTTTCTTCACAGCAATGGTGTTCCAGTCCTCAGACCATTTTTGTGTCCCTCCTCTGGACCCACTCTAACAGGTTCATGTCTTTCTTGTACTGGGAACCCCAGAGCTGGATGCAGCGCTCCAGGTGGGGTCTCATGAGAGCGAAGCAGAGGGGCAGAACCTCTTCCCTCAACCTGCTGGTCACACTTCTTTTGATGCAGCCCTAGATAATTGTCTTTCTGGGCTGCAAGTGTACATTGCTGGCTCATATCCATTCTTTCACCCACCAGTATCCCCAAGTCCTCCTCTGCAAGTGCTGCTCTCAAACCATTCACCACCCAGTCTGTACTGATATTGACCTTGTGCTCAGACTTGTTGAACTAGAACAGAGGTCCCTCCCAAGCTCAACTGTTCTATGATATCCTTTTCCAAACTTTGTTTACAACACATTCTCTAATATCCCCAATGCAACATGTTGAATGGAACATTTCTTTGCTGCTTTCTGTTTTCATAAATGTTTGAGCCGGAAAAAAAATCATCTCTGAACTGACAATACATATTAAACCATAAAGAACAGCTGTTTAATTAAAAAAGTAAAATAAAGAAATGACAAGGCATAGAATTCTTAGGTTATAACTCTGATCACTTTCCCTGTCATTGGAGAAACATGATATCAAAGTCAACACAAGTTGGAGAGGCAATACTTTCGGATTACTGAAAAATTATCACACTCAAAATATATCCTCTTTTGGCCTGCCCCATCTTAATCTGAGACCTCTTGGTGAGAGGGAAGTGAAGAAATTTCACACACTCTCACAAAGCTGATAGATCTCTTCAGTTAGTTCTCTTTCTCCCCAGCATAAACACCTACATCTACTAGACTATTTAGTCTCTTTTTCATCCCAAAAATATTTACAAACAGCAAGCCTCTTGTCCCCCCCTATACCTACACACAGATGTACTCGTGCAGCTCAAAGATTTCTTTCCTTCTGTTTTGACAGACCAAGACTGACCCTACCTGTGACTTCAAAACTCTGTTCTGGGAGATATCTAAACAGAATGGAGAGGCAAAATAGACAGAAACAAGACAGGACAGAAAGGTTATTAAAAAAAGATGTCAAAGCTTTATAATTACATGGCAGAATTTAATACAATACCCTATTTAAATGGAGATTAAATAACACTTCTTTTTAAAAAAGAATAGAATTAAAACAACTTGCAAAGTATTCTTAGGATCACCAGATAATAGGAAAATTCAGGTTGGAAGGAGCCTCAGGAGGTCATCTAGTCTTAACCTCCTGATCAGAGCTAGGCCAGCTATGACGTCAGATCAGGTTACTCGGTGTTTTAGCCAGTCTGGTCTTGAAAACCTCTGAGGATTGGAGACTGCACAACCACACTCAGCAATCATTGCTTGACTCTCCCCATGGTTAAAAACTTCTTCCTTATACCCAGTTTTAGCTTCTTGTTTCAACTTACATCTGTTGTCTCTTGTCCACCCACTGTGCAGTGCTGTGAGCAGGGTGCCTCCATCTTCTTGATGACCTCCTCACAGGTATTGGAAGGCTGCTACTAGGTCCTCCTGCAGGCCTCTCTTCTCCGGGCTACACAAGCTCTGCTTCCTCAGCCTTTCCTCACAGAGCAAGTGCTCCAGTCCCCTGACCATCTTGGCAACCATGTCCTAAGCTTGCACTAGTTTACTGATGTAATCCCAAAACTGGATGCACTATTCTAGATGTGGTCTAACAAGTGCTAAGCACAAGGGTAACCCCTTCCATTGATCTACTTCATACTCCTGTTAATACAACCTGTGATAATATTGGGTCGTCTTTGCTGTCAGAGCACACTGTTGGCTCACGTTCAGCTTGCTGTCCACAAAGACCTTTAGGTCCTTTTCCACAGAGCTGCTTCCCAGACAGTTTTTGTTCTCAGCCTGTATTGTTGCAAGAGGTTCTTGCTTCCCAGGTGTAGGAACTTTGCACTTGTCCTTAATGAATTTCATAACGATCTCGTTGGCCTATTCCTCTTGCCTGTCTATGTCTCTCTGAATGGCAGCCAGCCTTCTTGACTGGTCCTGCCAATTTCATGTCATCTGCAAACTTGATTCCCCCACCAGGTCACTGATAAAGATGTTACACTGGGTATGTCCTATTTACTTTGTTACAAAAATTAATAGCAGTAGAAAGTCATGTAAAAACTACTTTTTAGGGCAAATCACAAAAAAATTCAAAGAATTTCCAAGGCTGCCACTCTCACTAATCTATAGATGTGTAGGGAGAAAAAACTCAATGTAAGTGATTCGTGTGCTATTACTCTTCTATACAGAACTCATAGGATCCACCCCTAACTATCTTGTGTTTTCTCTCCTTATGTGTTCTACACCACTCATCCTGCTTTTTAAATGTAAGATACATTTTAGTCCTCTACTTCTGATTATACACTCCTGTGCAGCTGCATGAATGGCAAATGGTAAAACTTCTGTTCTCATTTATCTTGATCATTGTAATTAACAAAGCATCAGGGTTCTTGTCCTAGCAGTGCAAAGCTGGCACAGTTTTAAGCTCCTCTGCATACAGAGAATGACCTCTAACACCTGATGGATTTAGCTTCATGACAGGTCAAAGCTATGCCCTCCTCCCTGTCACTTCAACTGTTTTTCTAGTTTTGAGCATCTGACGTTTGAACCACTGTATTGGCATCTTTCCTCTGGCCTCCATTAAATTTTATCAATCCATACCCAAATGAAGTTAATCCAAAACTTCACTGTGAAAACTCTGCCATAGAATTGCTGTAATCAAAAGCATCCTCAAATTGCATCATATTCTTCTCATCCCTGGTACTCCTGCAGTGCACATCTTTTGCACATTTTCACAGAATCAAAAGCTGGCTGTCCAGGACCATGTCCAGACAGCTTCAGCATAACTCCAAGGAGGGAGACTCCACTACTTCTCTGGGCAACCTGTTCCAATGCTCAGTCTTACACGCACGGTAAAAAAAAAGTATTTCTATACACTTAGATGGAACCTCCTGTTTCAGTCTGAGCCTGTTGACTCTTGTCCTGTCACTGGGCACAAATTTTCCTCAGTCGATGTTGTAAAGGGCCACATAAATTTGATACTGCATTAATAAATTATCAAAAAGGGCAAAATATTTACAGCATTTAGCTTTTGGCAATACCTGCTTGTTGTCTTGTTCATTTACTTTCTGCAGATTCTCAGCTAGGAAGCTTCGATGCTTTGCCTGAAAGAAGAAAAATGCTTCCATGACATTTAATCAATGATCACTTGATCCCTATATTGGGAGATGGAAATCTTTCCTGTCACAATGACTAGCTCTGCAGCCTATGGTTTGTCTGAACATCTACGTGTAAGAAAGCAATCCTGACTGGAGAACTTTACTCTAGAGTAATGATCTTGCCATCACCTACAACAAGTTACCATTTACAAAAAACACTTTCCTTCCTTTCATTCTTTTTCTGTCTTTTACTTCTGCACTTCTCTGTGCATCTCAGGTTATAGAAATCAATTCTGACAAGTTAGAGGTTTGCAAGAAGGCTGATCAGCTTGGTTGCAGCTTATTTACATGTGCCATTGGAGCCGCTTTTTTAAACAGTTCCTTTCTGACAATTTAGAAGTATAACCAGTATTATATTAGAGTAAGAGAAATTTAGCTTTAACAGGTAAACCCTTGGCTTTCAGCTTTTTTCTTGCAGGTCAACAGAGCTGTTTCATATCCCTGAAAAATATCAGTCTGCTCTTCTCTAGCACTGCCTGTTTCCTCCCCACCCCCCAAGTACAGGATTATAACTCCTCACCGACTTCAATTTCAACCACTCTGCTCTCACTGCTAATGCTACAAATCTCTCTCTTCAAAAGGCTTGTTCTATTTTATCATCTATGTTTGTCTCAGCAATGAACTTGTTGCAGGTGGAAGAAGAAACAGATTGAAATTAATCAAAGATTGGAACTCATAAATAGTATCAACAGCCAGAAATTAATGCATCTTTTCACCATCAATTTTCAACAATAATTAAAACTGAATCCCACCAAGTCTAACTATAACTTTTTCCCCATTGTTATCATGTTCTGTTCTTGGCAACACGGGCTCAAAATGACAATCACATTTCCGCAAAGTTAGAATTTACTGCATGTCAGCTGAGCTGCAGTGACTGTTTGCATGAGTGTCCTTGGCCTGTGACAACTGTGAACTAATTTGATGCTGTTTAGCTCACTAAAGAAGAGGTTTCCAAACTCGGTGTTCTAAGTTGCCAAAACTCGATGCTGATACACGAGGCAGGCAACATTTTCTGCAGAATCTAATTTAACTTAAGATTGCATTTGTACTTCTAGACCCATATTATTCACATACCTGATCTTCTCGTTCAAAGCCTGGTGCTTTTGGATAGCTAGATGTCGGTGAAGAAACACCTGATGTGCTAGACTCAGAACACAAAACGCCATTTGCTAATGATCTCTGTCTACAAAGAGGTCCAAGTGGTGATAAAGAACTACTGCTACCAGAACTTGATGTTACAGTTGGACTTGAAGAACAGGAAATCTGCAGAAGACATAAAACAGTGTCTAATATACTGTATGATTTTTTTTTATGTTTACAGCTGTAGTCTCCCTCTGTAACCCCATCAGTTGAAATTAAGAATTAATTTCAGTCTTACATAAATACAACTTAACTTTGGTTTATTTGTATATATTTTTGGTATTAGCTTAAAAAAGAAGCAGATGACAAAATTCACATGGAGCTATTGTAAACATACAGACTTCAAAAGGAGATGCACTTGTACACACCAGAATATAGCCTTGTTTGGTCCCTATGCACAAAATGAATCACAGACGGAGATTACTTAATGGATATTAAATTACAATAAAGGAATACTTGCTTTCTGACAACCCTGACTTTCATTCATTCCTGTATTTCTTAATTTACAGTTTAATGCAAGCATCATACAACATTTCACAGTTTTAAAAGAACTCATCCGGATCAAGCCAAGCAGCTGAGAGAGACACGCAGAATCTTGGCAAAAAGCATCTCAATGCTTGTTTGTAAATATAAAAAAGCTGTTTTCTGAGATTCTTAAATATTAAAATGTTTATAGATTAATAAATTAACATTTTAATATTTAAAAACATTACTGAGTTTATAATTTTATTTCTGCTGTACATTTTCCAGACAGTTTTAAACTTCTAAAGTAAAAGGCTTAAGCTGCAGGTACAATCTGTAAGTAGGTCTGGACAATTTTCTGTCTAAAAGTACAATTCTGATCAACCTGAAATTTATGAACTCAAGTGCCAGCATCCTACAATAATATGTGTGAGTGAAATTGCAGGCACTGCTTATTTCTACATTTTCAAAGTAAACTATTCAACTTTCTTCTTAAACTAGATTGGTAACTAGACTCACAAAGGCTGCATGGAAATAGTTACATCCTACATTCATGCCTAACAGCCCAGTGGTGAGAACACTCAGTGTGCTTGTTTTGGCACAGAATCTGCCAGCTCTCAAGAAACTAAACTAGTCAACATAATAATAGAGTGAAATTCTGCCAAAGTTGTTTTGGTTTGTTTACATACAAAATACACACTGAAACAGACAGACGAAACAAGAAAAACTACATAGTTTACTGTTAAACTCTCCACTTAGGGTTAACCCTAACCCTTAATTTTACTCTATGCTCCAAAGAATGTGAAAGTATTTTACACAAATCAGGATTTTAACAGGAGATACCTCTCTCCCCAGGATAGTACAACCTCAAGTCATTCCCCCTGAGCAGCAGGAACTTCAGATTCAAATTCCTGTAGACCAGGTAGAGGACAGACATGAACCCAGATGAGGTATTAACCATAGATAGAAAAAAAACACCTCCAACAAATGTAAGCTCTATACTCGCTGAAGATTATTACCTATGCATCCACTCACTCCAATCCCTACAGAAAATCTCCTGTCACAAACCTTATCTGTGTGGAGTTCTGTAATTAGATTGCTTCTGAAATCCAAAGACAGCTTCTCTACACAACAGTCTGAAATGTACATATACCCTGAGAGCTGACAGAAGTAGAAGACTAGGCACTACAGCAAAAATAATTAAATTGATAGCCAAAGTTTACCGAGACAAAATTCTTTCTTTAGTCGAAGGCTGAAGAATTCATGTTTTGACCACAAGCTTGTTACAACATGCAATGCTTCTGTCACCATGTACTCTAAATCCAAAACTAAGGATTGACCCTGTGCATGGGGATGCTAAGTTTGCACATTTTTTTCAGCTCTAAAACACTGAAATCCTTTCTTTATGCTAGAGAGAAAAAGAAAATAAAAGGATAATGCCAGGAGAAAAAACACTGCGCCTAAGTGAAATTAAAAAAAAAGAAATTTTTTTTTTTGGTCAATAAAAACATGCTAAGCTATTCAGTTCCATATTAAAAGATTTTGAAAACATAGTTACATCTTGTAAGTACACTTAAAAACATACTTCTGGTAGCACAAGGCTGCTTAATGCAGCACACAAATACGTAAGACAAAATGACTGGACAGCAAAAGCAGACTAACACCTGAAGTAAGATACTAATTTATATCAGCTACTGACTCAAATCAAGGATGAGTTCCCTAAACTGCACAGAATTTTTCTCAGATGCATATTTTACGTCCGCTCTTTCAGCTCAGCAGGCAACATAGATTATTCTGCCAACACAGGAAGATGTACATCATGGTTACTCCCCTACAATGTGAGCTAATGAAGATCAGGGGAAGAGGGAGGAAGGAAGATAGCCATTATGGATTACTTGTCCTGGAGGGCTATCTGCAGACAACAGAGCCATAAGTGGGGAATGATGCCCTTGTTCATTCAGAAGTAGTGGGCTTGAGGTACAGCGTTAATGGTCAGGATCAGATGATATCACGTATGTAGACCATTAGATAAGACCGTAAGGTGCCACTCGTGATTCCTTCTGGTTACAGTAAGTATCAACGGTGGCATTAACATACATATATAGACAGAGCGAGCTGTAAGCATTAAGAGCTTACAACACAATTTTGTGCAGTTTTGCTCTGAAAAACTAAACTAAACTAAACCAATCACTCACAGAATCACAGAATGGTAGGAGTTGGAAGGGACCTCTGTGGGTCATCTAGTCCAACCCTCCTGCCAAAGCAGGGTCACCTACAGCAGGCTGCACAGGACTGCGTCCAGGCGGGTCTTGAATATATCCAGAGAAGGAGACTCCACAACCTCCCCGGGCAGCCTGTTCCAGTGTT